TCCTGACTGTTGGATGATTCTTTACCTGGAGATGAACCTGGGCTCAGAAATGTCACGAAGGTCACACTGGGATGTTAGTACGTAGGCAAGGTCGAAGAGAAGGCTGCAGAGGGGGATGGAAGGACACCTGGAAACACCACCAAACAGGACATAAAGTTTTCCATCTGAAACTTGGGAATCCTCTCTCTGCTAAGGAGCTCCAAGGAGTGGTTCAGGTTGTGTCTGCCAGGAAAGGAACACTAGCTAAGGACAGGAGATTAGCACAGTGCTCAGTGCAGAGCTCTGAGCATCCTGTGATACCCCACACTGCTCCTCCCTAGAGAGGGGAACCCAGGAGCCACTGTTCCCCCAACCTTTTCCCAGGGTTTTACTGGAAAAGACTGAAATCAAGGACTCATTTTTAAAAAAATATTTTAAATTCAACTTGCCAACATATAGTATAATACACAGTGCTCATCCCATCAAGTACCCTCCTCATTGCCCATCACCCAGTTACCCCATCCCCCACCCACCTCCCCTTCAGCAATCCTTTGTTTCCCAGAGTTAGGAGTATCTCATAGTTTGTCAACTTCTCTAATTTTTCCCACTCGGTTCCCCTTTTTTCCCTTATGGTCCCTTTCACTATTTCTTATTTTCCACATATGAGTGAGACCATATGATGATTGTCCTTCTCCAATTGACTTCACTCAGTACAATACCCTCCAGTTCCATCCATGTTGAAGCAAATGGTGGGTATTCATCGTTTCTAATGGCGGGGTAATATTCCATTGTATATACCACATCTTCTTTATCCATTCATCCTTTGATGAACACCAAGGATCCTTCCACAGTTTGGCTATTGTGGACATGGCTGCTAGAAACATCGGGGTACAGGGGTCCTGCCGTTTCACTGCATCTGTATCTTTGGGGTAAATCCCCAGCAGTGCAATTGCTGGGTCATAGGGCAGGTCTATTTTTAACTCTGAGGAACCTCCACACAGTTTTCCAGACTGGCTGCACCAGTTCCCATGCCCACCAACAGTGCAGGAGGGTTCCCCTTTCTCCATATCCTCTCCAACATTTGGTGTTTCCTGTCTTGTTAATTTCCCCCATTCTCACTGGTGTGAGGTGGTATCTCATTGTGGTTTTGATTTGTATTTCCCTGATGGCCAGTGATGCGGAGCATTTTCTCATGTGCTCCTTGGCCATGTCTATGTCTTCTTTGGTGAAATTTCTATTCACATCTTTTGCCCATTTCATGATTGGATTGTTTGTTTCTTTGCTGTTGCGTTTAATAAGTTCTTTATAGATCTTGGATACTAGCCCTTTAGCTGCTATGTCCTTTGCAAATATCTTCTCCCATTCTGTAGGTTGTCTTTTAGTTTAGTTGACTGTTTCTTTTGCTGTGCAGAAGCTTTTTACCTTGATGAAGTCCCAATAGTTCATTTTTTATTTTCTTTCTCTTGCCTTCATGGATGTATCTTGGAAGAAGTTGCTGTGGCCAAGTTGAAAAGGGTGTTGCCTGTGTTCTCCTCTGGGATTTTGTTGGATTCCTGTCTCACATTTAGATCTTTTATCCATTTTGAGTTTACCTTTGTGTATAAGAGAATGGTCCAGTTTCATTTTTCTGCACATGGCTGTCCAGTTGTGCCACACCATTTATTGAAGAGACTGTCCTTTTTCCAGTGGATAGTCTTTCCTGCTTTGCCGAATATTAGTTGACCATGGAGTTGAGGGCCCATTTCTGGGTTCTCTCTTCTATTCCACTGATCTATGTGTCTGTTTTTGTGCCAGTACCACACTGTCTTAATGATCACAGCTTTGTAGTATAACTTGAAATCCAGCATTGTGATGCCCCCAACTTTGGTTTTCTTTTTCAATATTCCCCTGGCTATTCGGGGTCTTTTCTGATTCCACACAAATCTTAAGATTACTTATTCCAATGCTGTGAAGAAAAGTCCATGGTATTTTAATAGGGATTGCACTGAATGTGTAAATTGCCCTGAGTAGCATAGACATTTTCACAATATTAATTCTGCCAATCCATGAGCGTGGATTGTTCTTCCATCTCTTTGTTTCTTCCTCAATTTCTGTCAGAAGTGTTCTGTAGTTTTTAGGGTATAGATCCTTTACCGCTTTGGTTAGGTTTATTCCTAGGTATCTTATGCTTTTGGGTGCAATTGTAAATGGGATTGACTCCTTAATTTCTCTTTCTTCAGTTTCATTGTTAGTGTATAGAAATGCCACTGATTTCTGTGCATTGATTTTGTATCTTGCCACACTGCTGAATTGCTGTCTGAGTTCTAGCAATCATATCATCTGCGAAGATGGAGAGTTTGACTTCTTTTTTTGCCAATTTGAATGCCTTTTATTTCTCTTTGTTGCCTGATTGCTGAGGCTAGGACTTCTAGTAGTATACTGAATAGCAGTGGTGAGAGTGGACATCCCTGTCATGTTCCTGATCTTAGGGGAAAGGCTGTCAGTTTTCCCCATTGAGAATGATATTTGCTGTGGGCTTTTCGTAGATGGCTTTTAAGATGCTGAGGAACATTCCCTCTATCCCTACGCTCTAAAGAGTTTTGATCAGGAACGATGCTGTATTTTGTCAAATGCTTTCTCTGCATCTATTGAGAGGATCATATGGTTCTTGTTTTTTTCTCTTGTTGATATGATCTATCACGTTGATTGCTTTATGAGTGTTGAACCAGCCTTGCATCCCGGGGATAAGTCCCACTTGGTCATGGTGAATTATCTTAATGTACTGTTGGATCCTGTTGGCTACTATCTTGTTGAGAATTTTTGCATCTGTGTTCATCAGGGATATTGATCCAGAATTCTCCTTTAGGTGGGTCTTTGGTTTTGTAATTACGGTGATGCTAGCCTCATGAAAGGAGTTTGGAAGTATTCCATCTCTTTCTATCCTTAGGAGCAGCTGTAGTGGAATAGGTATTGTTTCTTCTTCAAACGTTGATAGAATTCCCCTGGGAAGCCATCTGGCCCTGGACTTTTGTGTCTTGGGAGGTTTTTGATGACTGCTTCAATTTCCTCCCTGGTTATTGGCCTGTTCAGGTTTTCTATTTCTTCCTGTTCCAGTTTTGGTAGTTTGTGGCTTTCCAGGAATGCGTCCATTTCTTCTAGATTGCCTAGTTTATTGGCGTATAGCTGTTCATAATACGTTTTTAAAATCGTTTGTATTTCCTTGGTGTTGGTAGTGATCTCTCCTTTCTTATTCATGATTTTATTAATTTGAGTCTTTTTTTCTTTTTAATAAGGCTGGCTAATGGTTTATCTATCTTATTAATTCTTTCAAAGAACCAACTCCTGGTTTTGTTGATCTGTTCTATAGTTCTGTAGTTCTTCTGGTCTCTATTTCATTGAGTTCTGCTCGAATCTTTATTTTTCTTCTGCTTGGTGTAGGGTGGGGGAAGGAAGGGTACCCTCTGGTTTATGTACTGTAAATCCCTAGACTTCCCCTGGAGCTTTTCAGCGCTGCTAGGTCAAGAACTTGTTCTTCCCCTGTCCTTCCAGCTGGTCTTCTGGGGGAGGGGCCTGCTGTGCTGATCCTCAGGTGTGTGCACCTGTGGGAGCTGCCCCACCCCCTGCCGGGTTTTGGGTTCAGTGGGAGCTGTTTACTCCCTGAGGCTTCTGTCCCCTGGTGGCCCCACCCCTCTTAGGCACAGGGTGAAACAAGGAGGTACAACAGCACTGGCGGCGGCCAGGTCTCCAGCCCTGGTATCAGCTTCCCGCAGTGACTCCCGCCGTCTCCCAGTCCACACTGGCCTAGATGCTCCTGGGCCGGCGCGGGGGCACCATCTACACAACCCACAGGGCGCCCAGCAGCAGGAGAGTCCTCGCTGTCCTGTGTCCTCCCCACCTCCTCCCGTTCCAGGGGGAGCGCAGGATCGCTGACTCTGTCCCCCAGCGCCCTGGGATCCGGGGCCTGCGCTGCTGGAATCGCACTCCCCGGGCCGCGGCTCCCGAAGGCAGCAGGCGCAGCCCCCTCGGTCCAGGGCCACCGCCGGAGCTTCTCCCCGAGGCCCCCCGGGCGCGCTCCAGCCCTTTCCCGAGCTCGGCCCGCGGTGTGTGGTGCCCCCCCCGGGGCGCCTCCTCTGTTAGTGACTCCGGGAGCCTGGAGGCTCCACTACTGCCCCTCTGCTGGTTCTGCCAGATTTCCCTGCTAAGCGCCTTTTCGTCCGGGAACAACCCGGTGCGGATTTTTCAAGTTCCCGCTTCTCGGGGCCTGGGCTTTCCTGTCCCGGAGGCTTTCGCCCCTGCCCGGCCCCAGCCCCCCCCCCTCCTACCTTGCTAGAAGCGAGAACCCTTCTCTCTGTAGCATTCCGGCTGTTCTCCCTTTAAATCTCAGGTCGAATTAGTAAGTGTTCCAGATGATTTGAAAATTATCTAGGTAAGTTCGTGGGGCCGCATGAGGTGAGGACCCTACTCCTCCACCATCTTCGAAAATCCAACTGCTGTCCTTCTTCAGAGTTGGGAGGTTCCCTTTTTTGTGAGTCCAGGGTTGCGATTCATTCTCTCCGTCCTACTTTGCCTAAGGAAGGCCCTACAGCAATTCCTCCACTCTTCTTCCAGGAGGTAGGAAAGGGCTCTTGAGGAAAAGACAGGCCTCTACGTCTAACAGAGACTTTTCCTCTGGGTTCCTATCTTGACTTTTCACCAGACTCCACTTGACAGTTGTTGACTGCTTCATCTGTCTCAGTCTGATGGTTCGTGCTGAGCTTTGTAGCCAGAGCCTGCTGTGTGTGTTGGGTCTCACCCTGAAGCACTGCCAGGTGATCATCCCAATTAATCAGGCCTCATCCTTCTGGGCACTTGATCATTCAGCTTTTAACAACAATTTGGTGGTTAAACTGCAACTCTGGGGTCCAATCAGGCAATTAATTAGATAGCTTTCCTCCCTGGAGGTTGCAATTTTCCGGAGTCTGGTCTCTAGCAGCTTGCCTTAGCAGGGCACGGAGCTTGATACCGGCAGCTAAACACGTGCTATTTTTGTCTTTGCTTTGCAGGAATGAACTAGAGCGGCAGTTTCTGGAACTGCTCCAGTTCAACATCAATGTTCCTTCCAGTGTTTATGCCAAGTATTATTTTGATCTTCGTTCTCTGGCAGAAGCAAACAACCTGAGCTTTCCCTTGGAGCCCCTGAGCAGGGAGAGGGCTCACAAGCTTGAGGTAAGATGCTTTAACATCCTAGTTTGTGATGTGCTATTGCAGGTGCATCATGTGCGTGTCCTGGAGGTGTGAGGTCACAGTGCCAATTTCTCCCACTGCGTGTTGTTGTAAAATAAGACAGGCTGCCTTGGATTTAGAGTTAGTCGATTAATTTAGTGGATTTATAATTCATACAATCATATTTTAATAACCTTAATATGTTTTTATTTAGTGTGCATCGATTCTATTAAAATCTTAAAAAAAGAGGCCTGTTTTTTAAAAAATAAGCTTATACAAAATAGTATTTCTCAACATGCACTTTTATAAGGAAAAAAGATACCAGATGAGCCTAATGACTGGAAATCCCAAAGGGTTATACTCTGCTTTTTATTTTTTTATGTTTTTCAAAATCTTTTCTCCACAGTCCAGTTAGAGCTGGGGCCAGCCCCATTGGTTTTGGTCTGGATTTAGGGCCTTCACTGTTAAGCTGTGTAACTTTCATGTTCATAACTTGTATATATAGCTCAGTGTGATATCTGCACCTAGCTCTTCCTGTTTGACTGTTGTTGACCAGATAAAAAGTGGTGGGGTGACAAGGAGGATCACTCCTGAAACCCCTTCCTCCAGAGCAGGAGTGCTAAGGCCCTTTGTACCTCTGCCGTTACCACGGTTGTGGTCTCATCCCATAGACCCTTTGATCAAAGCAGTAGATGGTACAGTCATGTCCCGAGCTTGGTGCGACCCAAGAGGTCTGTGCTGTCTTATTGTCCAATCTTAGTGACATGGTATCCCCTTATTCAGTACAGGGTCAAGATGGCTAGAGTGGTGGTCTGATAGTGTTAGTAGCTATGAATCACACAACGTCTAGAGGTAGAGGGAAAGAGATTATTATGGATTGCAAGCTTAAGAAAGTCAAAATTTTAAATAAAATTGTAAAAAATAAGTAACATGCTAATCCCAAGAAGAAACTTAGTAAAACTGTGGAATAGACTGGATTATTGAGCCCTGTTTAAAATAACCCCGTGAGGTTTTCAGAACTCCGTCGCTCTGCTGTAATTGTGTGCTGGCCATTAGGAAGCAGCTGCTCATTTTAGTCTCCCAGTTCTCTTGAGCAAGAAGTGGAAAACCCTTCCACTGAAGGATGTGCTCCGAGGCGGGTGTTGTCAGAGTATCTTGAGCACACACATGAAATTTGTGTGTTTGATTTCTCCGTGGCTGGGCCCCCTGTTTCAGCCTGAGCAGCAGGCTCTGGAAGCCCTGGTGCCCAGTGGTTCCTCTGGTGCCAAGCTGAGGAGCGCGCAGCTCCTGGCAGCATCTGCAGACCTGCAGGGAGGCAGGTCTATGGTTCTCTGAGGAAGGGTGTCTAGGGGTACAGCTCAGCCGAGTTGTGGGCACACAGGCTGGCTGAGCTGGGGGTCATTGGTGTTTGCTGTCAGCTCTGGCAGGTTACCCAAGTTGGCTCCACAGGCTCGCTGGGCAGAGGAAGACCGTAGTCCTGACATAACCATTCTCTCTTCCCCTGAGAGTCGGAGCTTACTGAGATGCAGACCCTTCTTCTGTAGGGCCAGACAGAAGCACTATCTGCAAGAGCAGCTTGCACTTCTCTGAAGTAATTTCTAAGAGATGGGATTTCCTTATTTTCCAGACCCCAGCGTCTCCATTAGTCCAAGTTTGAACCCCATCATGGAGGCAAGGGGGGTGAGACACATTAGAAGTGGCTATTACCTGAAGTTCTGTATGTTCCCAGATATGCCGCCAGATGGCCAAGTAGGTGTGTGTGGGTCACAGGGTAGAGTATGGAGCCAAGCAGGTGCACGGTATCTTTTCATTAGCCTGGTCATTTCTCCTTGAAATCAAGTCACATCTCTGTATGCATGCCGAAGGTGGGATTAAAGCTAAGAGTTTGCATAATGAAATCCCTAATAAGGTAGTGCATTACTAACTCAATATAATATTACACTAATATTACACTCAGACCGTGTACTGGTTATAAGCTGAGAAACGACAGTTATCTCAACAAGTTTAAATAAATGAAAATAACTTACTTTAAAAAGTCATTGCTCTAATGTCTGTAAGGAATGTGATTTTTCTCTTTAAGTATGTCACCTGGATCATGTGTATGAAACGTATTTCACACAAGGGGTGCCCAGTGCTGTAGCCTATCTCCTGCCCTCATTCACCTGTCCTTTGGAGCTCCTATCTCTCCTCTAGTGCCCCTTCCCTGCTGCCCCTGGAGTTGTTGTGTAAAGTGCAGTTGTAGGTTTTGGAAAATGAATGCGAACCGGTACCAGTGCCTTATTTTTCCAGTACTTTGGCCTTGCCCTGATATGTGCGTGCCTCTGTTATGTGCAATCTTAATTGGTACTTACACATCCACTCGACACATACTTACACATATTTGCTCAGTGTCCTCTGATACCAGGCCCTGGTTACCAGGCACTATCATGAACAAAATTGATAGACTTTGCCCTTCTGGAGTAAACATAGTACATAAACTGGCTCATATATTAGAAGGTGAGTAAAAAAGAAGCAATAGGGTAGGGGTTGCTGTCATCAGGAGCCTCACTGAGTAGGCTTTGGTGGCATGAGGACTCTTGCAGAAACCTGTGGCTGAGGGAAGGAGCTGCTTCAGAACCCACAGTGGGAGCCAGCTCAGGTGATGGGGGCCAGAGGAGGTGAGGCCCAGAGCAGAGTGGGTGAGGGGAGAGGAAAGTATGGGGAAAGAGATCACAGAGTGAGTTCAAGGTGAAGCAGAGAGAGCAGCTGGAAGGATGACTGTCATCATCCCCATGAGAGCCATGGTGATGTCATCAGGTACACCACTTTTGTGTCTTTGTCCCTGATGATGACTTCATGGTAGGTGGGTACCGTATCTGTTTCCCTAGCCCCTGCCTCACCCCTGGCCTATTGCTTGAATTGTGTACAAGTTAGAAGACTTCCTTTTTGTATCATCATGAGTGAAGTCAGCCTCACCCCTGGGTCATTTTGACAGAAGGCTAGGGCATTTGGAGTGAGTGACTGGCTCAGCATCTGTCATCACGTGCTCCCAACCTGCACCCAGCAGCAGCCCCGAAAGAGCCATGGCTGGGCTCTGAGCCCCGGGGAAGGCCGAGCCTTGCTCCTGGCTGAGGCACTCCCACCAGAGTCTCTCTGTCTTTAGTCGAGACTGTGAGGACATGTGGATGGTCCCCATGTTCCCTGTGCTACATTTCCTGCCCAGTTTCGTTCTTCACTAGACTTCTACCTGCTGTGACTTGGTCTCACATAATTGCTGCCAAGTGATGTTCTGAGCACTCTCTATAGCACAGAGCCCTGGGGCATGACGATAGCCATGCCGGGTGGGTGCTCTTCACCCCGTGTGCAGACAAGGGTGCGGGACTCGATGGAGACATAGGCCTGGCTTGTGGCCCTGAGCGGCTCACCAGCCTTGAACCTGGGTCTGGCTGAGCCCAGGCAACACTCTATAGTCGTCTCCCATTTTTTGAGGTGATTTTCAGAGTCAGCACAGGGAGATGGGGCCTGTGTCTGCAAGCCCCCCTGTGAGGGCACAGGACTGGGCCGCAGCATGTGAACTCTGAGCAGTGCTGTCCATGGGGTCCCCAGCAGTGAGGGAGGGAGGGTGCCTGCAGGATGGTCCTGACCTGAACTGTCTCTCTTCTGCCCCTTAGGCCATCTCTCGCCTCTGCGAGGACAAGTACAAGGACCTGCGTAGACCCATGAGGAAGCGGTCAGCGAGTGCTGACAATCTGACTCTGCCGAGGTGGTCCCCGGCCATCATCTCCTAACCATGGGGAGGAGGGGGCTTTCTGGAGGCCACACCATCCCTCAGTTTCTCCTCTAGTGTGAGAAAAGACAGACTTGGGGTGGTTTTGGTTTTGTTTTCCTTTCCTTTTCTTTTTAAATTGAAATTGATAGCTTTGTCAGGCTACCTTGATGACCGTCTCCACGCTGTGTGGCCCTCACACAACTAGGCCTCGAGGGAAGCAACATCAGTGTTCCGGAGACCCCGTTCCATGCCTTTCCCCGTCGTCATTAACAGCACTCCCTCGTGGAGGAAAAAGACTCTCATCCTGGAGAAGGAAACAAAGGGAAAGGGAAGTCGTGTAGAGGCAGGGAAAAGGTCAAATGGCTTGGCCATTTCTTATGTCCCCATCTGGTCGATAGATGAGTATGATGGAGAGACACAACCATAGATAACAAAGTCGGATGTGCATTAAAGACAAGAGTCCTGCGTTTATCCACCTCCGTTTGGATCAGTATGTTCTGTAAGACTTCTTGCATTCCTTCTAGCTGCTTTTTTGGGATTTGGGGGATTTTGTTTGTTTTTATTGTTTTGGTTTTGGTCCCACAGAGCAGAGGATATAGTTTGTACCCACCATGGCACAGACATCCAAATAAATAGTACTGGTCATTTCTCTGTGCACTATTCCTGCGAGCTGTCTTCTGAGCTTTCTTCCTTACAAGTGGGATGCGCTTGTTATATTTCTGTACACCTTTATTTTATATAGTTTTTCTTCAACGGTGGCAAAATTAACTTGACTGTAGTACTGAACCAAAAGTAATCCTTTCCGTCCTTATTCCTCACCCCAAGAAAATTCTAGATCATATGGGTGCTTGTGTCTTCCAATTTTCTCGCAGTTGTTTTTTTTTTTTTTGCCTCTGACCTGAAATCGTAATTATAAATCAATCAGATTCTATGGGCTGAAGGAACAGTATGCCACGGAGCGTGTCCTCTGGTAGAAGTTTTCCTCCAGTGCTAGGTGTTTGCCTGTGGTTACTGAGCAGGAGCCGCCTCTCTCTGTATCCCCAGCCCAGTTCACTCCTCTATGTCCGTGTCCATTGTTGCAAGCAATATTCTTCTCAACTTTTATATGTTTACTTTAAATCAAAGTTAGTCTATTTGTATAAAAATTTTTAAAAATCTAAAATTAAAAAAAAAAAACAAGGGGGGTGGGTTATTCCAGTGGAAAATCATTGAAGGACAAAATGTTACTATTGACTGAGGTATTTTTCACAGGACGATTGAATAAAAAACTCAACTTGCGTTTTCATTGTGGGTGTTTAGAGAAATTACACAAAATTCAAACTGTGAAGGTTTATGCTTCATTAATTAGGACTGTACTTCTTCATTTTCTGACTCTCCTAATTTCCTGATGGGCTAGATGAGAATCTTCTATATCAAGTAAAATAAAAGGGTTAATGATAGAATATCAGAGTAAATTTGGTATCAAGTCTAAGAATCTGAATCAGTGAAGCATAGAGTGCTCTGGGTTTTTGCATATTTTCTTGGGTCACAATGACAGGCTTCTGAGTTTTTTTCCCTTTTCAAGCCTCTGCAAGGGAAATGGCAGCAGATACTCTGTGTTTCATCTTCCTGCTATGTGAATGTGGAAAACTTTGAAATCTTATTAGTCTTGGGTCCCCTAAAGTCATACGCCTCCAACATGCCTGCTTCTGATGAAACGTACTTCGGAGATAGAAGGGGCTCAAAAAGTTGAAATCCCAAGATCCCTGGGCCAGAAGTGCAATGCTAGTTAGATTTCAATGAAATTTGTATCGTGTAAACAATTGTTTGGACCAGAAATACCGTCAGGTTCTTTCTGGCCTAAACTTTCAAAAGCAAACACGCAGAATCTGAAAAGTTAATTATCTTTCCATTATAATGGTGTGATATACTCTGTATGGGTACCAAAATGAGCTTCTCTCTTCAAGTAAGAGTTGGATTTAGAACTTTAAATAGAGATCTAAAAATGTAGAAAATATTTTATATTCCCTAATCTATATAGCTTAAAAAGGGACATATTTTCTTAGCTGAATATGAATACCTCTCAAGCATAAATTAGTTCCTCTCATGTAAAGTATCTTATTTTACCAATCCATTTCAGGAAAGAGGTTCTGCTGCCTTTAAAGCAGAAAGCTTATTTTTATCCCTTTTATTTGAATGAGAGAGATTTGAAAATTGAATTATGTAAATACTTCAATGCATCTGCTATTATTTTGTGGAGTTTATTAAACTACTTTAAAAAATTGTATAGTCTATTTATTGTATGTATGTACATACAGTCTGATAACTTAAAACTTAACGTGGATTCCGTAAAACCTTGACTCAGTCTTGTTTAGACTATTGAATATTGTTTTAACCTTGTGCACTGGACTCTACCTCTGTATAGGAAGATTTTCCATACTCATTAATAAGTATTGATCTGTATTAATTGGTTATGTTTCTTGCACTAAGGATTTTTAAAATTTTGCTGTAAGTGTAGATTTTAGTTTTACTTTTGCAGTATGAATCACTTGACACATAGGTATATACTTTAGGTTTACTTTATTTTTCTACATGATGATGAAGACTTAAATTTTGTTCTCTGGTTTGTTCTAAGTTTGCCAAAAAGAAAGCCCAACAATACCCAGTACAGTACCTATTGGTTAATCATAGTGACTGTAATTTGTTTCAAGGTGATTCAATGCCCTACAGTTAAAGCCGGATTGCTATTTAGGATGACATTGTCTTAGTGTAGTTTTTGAAAGGACGGTTCTCATCATTAATGGAGGATGAAGAAAACCACACATTTTGTTGACTTTAATTTTAGATTTGACTTAAACAACAATTAAATCATTGGGAGAATAAGTATATATCCCAATAAATTTTTTTTATTTTACTTTTTTTTTTTTTTTTAAACTGGGAAAAGGGAAAGAAGTCAGGGATTTAAAACCAAATTAGAGGGCAAGGTGGGAGATCCTACCAAGATCCGAGATGTGCGCCTATGCCTTAATGCACTAGGTGAGGCTGGTGTCAGAGCCTCCTACCCATCATCTGGCTCCTCTCCTGGGCTGGCTCTCCCGAGCTCCTTCTCGGTCTTTGGCGGGGGCATCTCCATCTTGAGGTTGATCCTTAGCTAAGCTGCAAAGCAGAATTTTGGGAGTGAGTGATTTTGATCCTTTCCGGCTGCTTTTGGTAACCTCTCACCTGGGGCCATATTTTACAGCTTTGAATTTTTTAAACAATAAAATATAATTCCTGGTTCATTGTAGGTACTTAATAAGTGTTAAATAAATAAATAAATACATAGAACAAATAGTGCCTTCCTGCTGCATTTTTTTGAATATTATATTGAGATAAAATTCAACAGGTTTTATGGATGTTGTGTGTGAACGTATTATTATTCTTGGGAGTCTTGAGCAGTTCAAAAAGTATTGAACACTTCTTAGAAGCCTCTTATTGAGATGTTACAAGACCTATCAGAGCTTGTCATCTTTATATTGATGCCCTATATTATTTTAATGACTTTATCCCCTTTGGTTTCATTGGCGTCAACATCTCAAGACTGTGTTGGGTGGATCTTAGAAACATGGACCATCTTTGGAAAGGCCAACCAGAGAAAGCCCATATCCTTGTTGAAAAAGATGAGAAATAGGAGACATGCCCTCAGGCTGAAACTGGAAAAGGATATTTGAGAAGATTTATTTTTTAAACTATATAGATTGTGAGGAAAATCCTATATAGAACTTCATTAAGACCACGATTTGCTGTTACTGAATGCAGAGTCTTTACTATATCTAAAAACAAATTACTCCCCCACCTCCCCCACCCCCGCCCCTGGCCTCAGGACAGTGAGGGAATTGTAGAAGTGTGCTTTGTAGTCACAAAACGGGTGATGGATTGTGGACCTGACCAGTTCAGCTGACTTCCTTTCCAGTTTTCCTGTTTGATTTTCTTACGTTGTATGTGTGAAGCTGCTAAAGGAATACTGAGCCACTTTCCGTTAGAAGCTTCAAGAGTTCAGTGGTCAGCATTGACATGGTCTGCTTTTATTCATCTCTCAATTGAACATGTTTAGAGGGTGCTGTGTGTCTACGTTGCCACACGCACTCAGGTGAAGATTTATTCTGGCTCCTGTGCTGTCCGTTGTAATCGTAGAAGGTCTTCTGGAAGAACCTGTGACCATAAGAAATTAGTTCAGAAGTATCTGACTGAATGGTGTTTAGATTTTACAGATCTCTATAAGCTTTCCTGTGTCTTTTAGTGGATGATTTAGGTTGAGGTCTTTATTTTAAGAACTTTGTTTATATAAATAAATTACTTCAAATGCAGGATTAAAGAGTGGCATTCAAGACTAATCCTGTGCCCTTCATTGATTAGACCTGGAAAAAAAACAACTAGCACATTCATGAGATAGGGTTCTCCGTATACGATGACTAGGACGAATCTCATCCTTTCCTGTGTCAGTCATTTTGACTGCAGACGATCTGCTCAGAAGTTGAGTCAGAAGTACCAAGCACCTGTCTACAGGTATTGTACACGGTGGGAATCCACCAGGATGACAGAAACAGGCGCCTGCCCACATGAAGCTGAATTGATTTGGTCTGGATCAAATGATATGACAATAAAATAGACACACATTCATCCTGTTATGAGCATGAAGCAGAATATCTAAACCGGTCTCCGGTAACAGACATGCTTTCTGGAATGTCATTTCTTCCTGCAGACATTCATGGAGTTCCACAATCATTTAATGTTACATGTTAATGTTTTTTGAGGACCTTAAAGCTAGTGTGATGGCTACCAAGAAAATGGAGAGAAACCACTGGAAAACAATGAGAATTTAGTAGGATGGTGGTTAGAAGATCAGGAGGTTAAGAAGGTGGTTAGAAGGTCCAAAAGGTATGTGATAGTTTACCAAATCACCGGCAGTAACCAGTTAGAGAATATGGTGGAAAAGAGGTGCCCCTCCAAAACTATCAAATTACAACCTATCCAAGAACAAAAATAGGATGCCCAGTAGCTTCAGCATCTAGCATAGTTTAATTCATCAAATCCTCATCACGGTTTCAGGGCAACTGCTGTTATTCCCAGATGCAGATGCTTAGGCTTACAGAGGAGGAAACCTTGCTCTGGGCACACGGTCAGACTTGTAGAGCCAGAAAGCCTGACTCCAGAGCTCATTTTTAACTAGCCTGTTACATGGCTTTTCACTGTCCTCATTAGGGAAGAAAACCTGTCAAGAAACATGCTATGGTTACCTCCCCCAGATTCATGCCAGTCCAAAACCTGCAAATGTGACTTTATTGGGAAATGGGGTCACTGCAGATGTAATCAGTTAAGATGAAGTCATGCTGGATTAGGATGGGTCATAAATCCAATGACTGGTGACCTTCTAAAGAGGGAGATTTGGAGAAAGACCTAGGGAGACGTAGGAACAGTATCCTGTGATAATGGAGGCAGAGGATGGAGCAAACAGCTGTAGGCAAGGAATGACAGGGTTTGCCAGCCGGCTGGAAGAGGCAAGGAAGGGGTCTTCAGAGAGAACACAGCCCTGCTGCCTCCCTGAGACTCCTACCCTCCAGAGCTGTGAGGGAATCAAGCCCAGCACGTGGCAATGTGGCAGCCTCTCTAGGAAACTAACACATGTGCGGTTCCTAAATAGAACACTAGGGGCGCCAGGGTGGCTCAGTCACTGAGTGTCGGCCTTGGGCGGGGGTCATGACCCCAGGGCCTTGGGATGGAGCCCGCTTCGGGCTCCCTGCTCAGGGGGAGCCTGCCTCTCCGTCTCCGCCGCTCCGCCCCTGCGTGCGCTGCCCCTGGTGTGCCCTTTCTCTGTAAAACGAATAAATGAAAATCTTTTTTAAAAAGAAAACGCTGAACTTCTCAGGCAGTCGTCAGAAAAGCCGTGCAGACTCTGTGTTGTTGAACCCGCAGGCCGGTTCTAGACAATGTCTCGTCTCCCCCGTAGTTCCGTCCTGCCGCCCCCCTTGGGTCGGGGTGCGCTCGGCACACGGGGCCGACCCACTGTAGGCCCCTTCGCTGAATCGGAACTTCCTTCACCATGTGCCCCCAGAAACGCACCGCTCATTGAAGACTTGTGCCCAAGGTCACCTGTCCAAGAGGCCTGCCGTGACCTCGCTGTCCTTGGGGTTGCGCAGGACCCCACCTCTAGCCTGCGTGGCCGCCACTGCCCTGCACGCCTCTCTGTTGGCTTCTCTACGGGACTCCTGCCCCGCGACGCTGCCGCTCCGGGGGCTTGTCGGTGTCCACGCTGCCCCGGGCCTCCCC